TTCCCACCCCCTCAGTACACAGGGTTGAAAGGAATGGGCAACTTATACATTGGCTATCCAAAATGGGAGGCTCCAAAGGCACGAAGTGACTGGCTTACAAGCTTTCACGAGGTAGCCTAGTTTCAGAGGATACAGGGGAAGGTAGAGTCGCCACTGAATGGCTTCCAACCTGTCTGGACAGAGCTGGTGAAAGGAGATGGGATAAGATTCTTGTGGTTCAATAGGGAATAATTGCTACCAGGACTGATTGTCCAGTGTTGCAAATGTAAAGGTAGGTCTTCCAGATTGGGTGGCAGCAGAGACAGCCAGTAGGAAAGGCTCCATAGGGAAGGGATTGAAAACCCACAGAAGCTGTAGTCACAGAACAACACCAGAGCTCAGGATCTACCATAAGGTCCAAGATGTCAGTTTCCCTCACTTGCAAGTGAAAAAAAAATCACAATATAAAGGAAAATACTGCGAATTAGGAATCTCTGGAAACCAGATGCCCTCTGTAGCCACCCCACCTGGGTATAGTTCAGAGGGCGGGGCTACAGCCAGACCAGCACTGGCAACCAGTGCTAAAAAACGGTGCAGTGACATTTGCAAAAGGAGGTGCGGGGGATTCTACAGACTTTTTCCTCCTTTTTCCTTCTTGTGCCTTCTTTGCCTAGCCCATAGGTGGAATCCAGAACCCCATCCAGAACTGACTGAGGTAGGAAATTTCCACTGGACAGGACGAGTAGACCAGTCTGGAGCAGCTAGAAGAACAGAAGATACTTAGTGAAAGAAAGACTGGCAGTAAAAATCTGAAACAATAACGGCAGTCTGATTGATTACTAGAAGAACAAGTAAGCTGTTCACCCGGGAGCCATCAAGGCAAGTGGTCAGGACCCCTCAGAGCAAACCCCCTTCCAAGACTGAGACTCAAAGGGAATATGCAAGCAGGCATGTGGTCTGGCTGGTGACCATGTTGGTCATCTATAAGGGAAAATGGAGAAAAAACAGCAATGAAGTTGTGAGCTAAACCCGACCATGTTCAATAGATCCCCGTGAATCTGAGTGGAGACCTGGATGGCCAGCAGTACAGCAAGACCTGGGGACTCCTGGACCCAGAGGCAGTGACATGGCCACAGAGGACTAGAGCAGAGAGTGAATCGTCCAGCTGATATGAAGTGAGGAGAGATGCACAAGAATACCCATACTTGCAGATAGTACCCACTTGACCTGGCTTCGATGGCTGGATGATCAGAACTCGACTAGAAGAAGAATGAAGAGGGAAAAAAAAAAAAGAGTAACCTGCTACAATTTGATGAACTTTGCCTACACTTATGGATGTAGTAGCTCAAAAAAGGGAACAAATCTTTATAGCGAGGATCACTCCCACCCCCTCGGTACACAGGGTTGACAGGGATGGGCAACATAGACATTGTCTACCCAAAATGGAGGGGCCTATAAAGGTAAGTGACTGGCTTTCAAGATGGAGCCTAGTTCCAAACGGGGCTGGGGGAAGGCAGAATCACCACTGAATGATTTCCAATTCGTTGGGACTGGGCTGGTGAAAGGAAATAGGGATAAGACTCTTGTTGTACAATAGTGAATAATTGCCATCAGGTCTGACTGTGAAGCTAGGAAATATAGTAGAGGTAGATGTTTTTTGACAAAGGGAGGCGAGTGATTGATTTTGCAGCCCAGGAGTGGATGTCCCTGGGACCATCAAGTTAGAAGAATGGAGAGCGGGACCCTACCCAGAGAGGCAGTGATACCAGGGATGGAGACAGAGAAAATGATGAGGATATATAAAGCAGCTGGAGACACTGGACTCAGGGAGGGAGAAGGGCTGTGTGCTGGTGGCCGGGAGGGTGGGGGGTGGTGGCGGGCCTGTGTGGTGTACCCTTTGGGGTTATATGATAATGTATGGAGGGGATTGTAATCATCGCAATGAAACAAAATATGATAGGATGAGTGTAAAGCTGATATTCTCCCATGTAAACCTCACAATAATAACTTTAAAAACAAGCAAAAAATGTAAAGGTAGACGTTTTGTAACAAAAGGAGGGGAGTGGTTGATCTTGCAGTCTAGGAGCGGAGCACCCTGGGACCATTAAGGGAGAAGAGTGGAGTGTGGGACCCTATCTAGAGAAGCAGTGAAGCCAGAGATGGAGGCAGAGAGAAAGATGTGGAGAGATGGAGTGGCTGGGGACTCTAGGGAGAGGGGTTGTGTGCTGATGGCCAGGGGGCAGGCTTGAGGGGTATACCCTTAGGTTGTTTGAATGGTTATATGTTCCTGAGTGCTTTGGTGTTTATCCAAAACACCAAGAAACAAAAACAACCCAGAGGGAATAGAAGCAAATGCTGTTGAATGATGATGCATGGAGGGGATTGTAATCATTGCTTTGAAACAAAATACGATAGGATGAATGTAAAGCTGATGTTCTCCCATGTAAACTATCACTCAATTCACAATAAAAACTTTAAAAAAAGGAAAGTTCAACCATTTCAAGGGTACCATATCATCAAGTACCTATGGTACTGAAGACATTGGCAAAAAGCAAGGTTCCAGGAATTGACAGGATACAAATTGAAATCTTTCAACAAACTAATGCAGCACTGGAGGCATTTATTCATCTATACAAAGAAATTTGGAAGACAGCTACCTGGTCAACTGATTGGAAGAGATCCATATTTGTGTCCATTCCAAAGAGAGATTGCTCTGCAGAATGCAGAAATCATTGAACAATATCATTACTATCTCATGGAAGTAAAACTTTGCTGAAAATAATTACAAGATGGCTGCTTTGATGGGGTACATGAGAAAATCAAGCGAGATTCAGAGAGAAAGAGGGATATCGTTGCTGACAACGGATAGATCTTAACTGAGAGCAGACAATACCAGAAAGATGTTTATTGACTATGCAAAGGCTTCTATTGTGTGAATCATAACAAGCTATGAATAATATTATGAAGACTCAATATTCCAGAGCACTTAATTGTGGAACCAGCTCTGGTAGCGTAGTGGTTACGAATCGGGCTGCGAACCTTAAGGTCAGCGGTTCGAAACTACTAGCTGGTCCGCGGGAGAAAGATCAGGCTTTCTACTCCCGTAAAGATTTACACCCTCGGAAACCCTGTACAGGGTCGCTATGGGTCGGAACCGACTCGACGGCACTTAACAACAACATACATAGACATTTAATGAGGAACCTATACATAGACCAAGAGGCAATTGTTATAATAGAACAAGGAGATAAAGAGTGGTTTATAATCAGGAAATGTGTGGGCCAAGGTTCCATCCTTTCACCATACTTATTAAGTCTGTATGCTGAGTAAATAATCTGAGTTGCTGGATTATTTTAAGAAGAATGTGTCATCAGGATTGGAGGAAGACTCACTAACAACTTGTGAAATGCAGATGATGCAACCTTTCTTGCTTAAAGTGAAGAGGACTTAAAATACTGATGAAAATCAAAGACCTCAGCCTTCCGTATGGATTACACCAAAATGTAAAGAAAACAAAAATCCTCACAACTAGAAAATAAATAACATCATGATAAATGGAGAAAAGATTGAAGTTGTTTAAGACTTAATTTTCTTGGATCTACAATCAACACTCATGGAAGCAGCAGTCAAGAAACCAAACGATGTATTACATTAGGTAAATCTTTTGTACAAAACCTCTTTAAAGTGTTCAGTTTTAAGACTAAGGTGGGCCTTACCTATGCGATGATATTTTCAGTAGCCTCATAGGCATGTGAAAGTTTGACAATGATTAAGGAAGAATGTAAATAAAATTGATGCATTTGAGTTATGGTGTTGGAGAAGAATATTGAAATTACCATGGACTGCCAGAAAGAACAAACAAATCTGTGTTTGAAGAAGTACATCCAGAGTACACTGTAGAAGTCATACTTAACACATGTTATCAAGGCATCATACTTGTAAAAGTGGAGGGTCAGTGTAAAAGAGGAAGACCCCAAAGAGATGGATTGGCATAGTGGCAGCAGTAGTGGACTGAAGTGTAAAAGCAATTGAGGTAAAGGAACAGGACAGGGCAGTGTTTATTGTGTTGTGCTAGGATCTGGAGCTGTGGCACTGTACGTAAAACACTGGACTGCTAAGTGAAGGCTAGTGCTTCAAACCCACCAGCCACTCCTCTGTTGCTATAAGTCAGAAGTGAGTCAACGGCACTTAAGAACAAATAAAAAGAACTATACTCTTAGTATTTATAAACCTTGACCGTCTCTATATCTTTTTTTTTACATTCTTTCTATCGTATATCATCCCATTGCCATGGTTACAATCCCCTCCATGCATCATCAACCAACCAAAGGGTATACCCTGCAATCCTGCCCTCCTGCCCCCGTACCCCCCAGGTCTTCAGCACACAGTTGCTTTCCCTCTCTGGATCTAAAGTCTCCAGCTGCTCCATCTCTCCACATCATCATCTCTGCCTCCATTTCAGGCATCACTGCTTCTCTGGGCAGGTTCCTGCTCTCTGCTCTTCTCCCTTGATGGTCCTAGGGACCTCCGCTCCTAGACTGAAAACTTAATCACTCCCCTCCTTGCTATAAAACATCTACCTTTACATTTCCAACCCTCACAATCAGTCCTGATAACAATTATTTACTGTTGTATCACAAGAGACCCATCTGCATTTCATTGCATCAGCTCCACCTAGACAGATTGGATACTATTCACTGGAGATTCTACCTTCCTCCAGGCCCTCTGGATCTAGGTTCCCTCTTGAAAGCTTGTAAGCCAGTCGCTTCTTGCCTTTGTAGCGTCCCCCACCCCCCATTTTGGGTAGCCAATGTCCAAGTTGCCCATCCCTGTCTACTCTGTGTGTGGAGGGGGTGGGGATAATTCTTGCTGTAAGGATTTATTCCCTCTTTTGAGTCTCTATATCTTTTAATTCATGCATAGTGATACTGTTCTTTTAAAGAAAAAGCAACAAAGATTGGTTTGTAGTTTGATTTTTCTTAGATCAATGCATAATTAATATGTTTTAAAATTCATTTTAGGTTCCAAATCTAATTCCAGTTTTGATGTTCAAACTAGGAAGACCACTGGATCCTGTTTTATACAATGATATCCTGTATACATTACCTACTCTTGGTGTGCACAAGGTTCGTATACTAACCAGTTTATTGGAGGGGGAAAAAAAACACTATGACATGAATAATATTTGAATTCTGATATATGAAATTTGGCACCCTTAATTCTGTAGTGACTGTAGCTTTTTTTGTTGGGCCACAATTAAGCACTGGACTGGGAACCACAAGGTAAATGGTTCAAGCCCTCCAGCTGCTCCACAGGAGAAAGATGAAACTTTCTAATCCTGTAAAGATTAAAAAGCTAGTTTAGTGGTTATGAATTGGGCTGCAAACCTCAAGGTCAGTAGTTCAAAACTACCAGCTGTTCCGCGGGAGAAAGATGAGGCTTTCTGCTCCCATAAAGATTTACAGCCTCGGAAACCCTGTACAGGGTCATTATCAGACGGAACCAACTCCACAGCACATAGCCACCACCACCATCACCTTATACAGAGTTGCTTTGAGTCGGAACCGATTTGGCGAAATTTAGCAACAATGCATAAAAGATAGTCTTTGTGTGCCTTTGTAGGATAAGCTCTTATCTACTAAATGCACGGTTAGTGGTTCAAACCCACCAGCTGCTCCTTGGAAACCATATACAGGGTCACTAATAGAACCAGTTTGATGGCACTTTAGAACAACAACAATGTCTAGAGGCAAAAGGATTTGTTATACTATATATCTTGGAATATTTTCAAATGACTTAATACCAAAATTTTCCTTTGGCTGTTGTATCAAATTAGGTCCTTATAACCTCTGAGTTGCTATCAGCCTTCTTCCCCAAACCGCTCCCCAATCCGGACATCAGAAGCACTAGGCTTCCATTTCTGTCTGTAGGTATAATAATGGTTAAAAAGGCTTTTGCTAACCTGTGGTTTGTCCATGTTTTTATTTGCAAAACGAATGATTGTGTAATATATTCTAGGTGTGCATAGGTCAAATTCTACGAATCATCCAACTGCTTGGAACCACTCCACAACTAAGAGCTGTTACTTTGCGCTTGTTGACATCATTGTGGGAAAAGCAGGTGAGCTCAGATATATTCTTGTGTAAGCATGAAAAATGTTGGTTTCATTAGGACCAATGATTTTGTCCTCGAGTGTAAAAGTGCTTTGACAAAATGGTATTAGTAAGTTTGTGCCATCAGTGTTTGCATTCAGAGATTTTGATTCACTTGTGATGCTTTTTCAGTGTAATGCCAGAAAGCTTGACTGACCCTCAGAAAGTATGAGAACATAAATAACCTGTTTTCCTTATTTCTGAAATTTATCTTTCCATTTGTGTGAATAAGTTATAGAAATATAGTTATATTTGATTATAGCCCTTATAATTAGATTGAGATTTACTCTCTTCTTGTTTTATAAAATGAATCTCCAGCAATCATTACAGTATTCTTCTCTGTTGATTGGAAGAAATACATTATAACTTGTAAAGTGTGGGACTTGGAGGTGAAAATGCTGTGAATTTACCTTCTTAGGATCGTGTGTATCCTGAACTACAGAGGTTCATGGCTATGTCCGATGTGCCTTCTCTGTCTGTGGGCAAGGAGATCCAGTGGGAGAAACTGATTGCAAAAGCAGCATCCATCAGAGATATATGTAAGCAAAGGTAAGATATACTTAACTCTTGGGAATGTATATTGTGATGACACTACTTTGCATTAATTATTGTACTGCCAGTGTGAAGCTAGGAGAGATAGTCTTAAGGAATGGTTACTATCTTTTGAGATATGGTGGATAGAGACTGGCATAGGATACAAACAAATCTGTTTTGGAAGAAGTACAGCTGGAAATCGGAAATCATCAAACAATGTAATTAATGTAACACACAAGTTAAATTTTGCTAAAGATAATTTAAAAAACTGCTGCCTATGGTACATTGTGAGGGAGCTGACAAACATTCAAGCCGGATTCAGAAGAGAATGTGGAATGAGGGGTATCGTTGCTGACCTCAGCTGGATCTTGGCTGAAAGCAGAGAATACCAGAAAGATGTTTACTTTTATTTTACTGTCTATGCAAAGACTTTCGATTGTATGGATTATGACAAACTATGGAAAATGTTTCAAAGAGTGGGTATTCCAGAACACTTAAATGTGCTCATGAGAAACCTGTACTTAGACTAAAAGGCAGTTGTTAGCACAGAACAGGGGATACTGAATGTTTTTTGTTTTTTTTTTTAAGTTTTTATTGTGAATTGAGTGAAAGTTTACAGGACAGATCATCAGTTTTACATTCAACAAATCATATACTTTGTTTCATTACAATGATTGTAATCCCCAACATTTACCATCAATTAACAGTATTTCTCTCTATTCAGTTTAGCTTTTTTTTTCCAGGGAAGGCCATTGATTTCCAAGATATAGACTGGACTTTTCAGAAGGAGGACATCTTAGCTGTTGCCTAGAGAGGAGTCAGGGACACAGTGAAGGAGACATGTGGATGTGGGGCAGGGAGGCTTTACCCAACACTGTTACAGGCACTTTTTAAAAAAATGAACGAAACGTCTTTACAAATCCTTATAAATTCTTTATACTGTGTTACACATTTAGGACAATATTTAAAGTAAAAGGATAGAGGAGGGAGGAGCAAGGAATCTACTTCACAGCAAAAAAACGAAACACTGCCCGATCCTGGGCCAACCTCACTATAGTTACCACGCTTGAGTCCATCGATGCTGCCACTTGGCCAGTCCGTCTCATTGGGGGTCTTCCTTTTTTTTCTTTGACCCTCCACCTTACCAAACATGATACCCGTTGCCAGTGACTGCTCCTTCCTGACAATATGTCCGAAGTATGAGAGATGAAGTTCGGCCATCTTGGCCTCCAAGGAGCACTCTGGTCGCAGTTCTTCCAACACGGATCAGTTGGTGCTTTTGGCAGCCCATGGCACTTTCGATATTCTCCTTCAGCAACATGCATGTCAAAATTGGATAATGAATATGGAAGACCATAGAATAATTATTTTATTTTAATAATGGTTTTGGAGAAGAATATTCAAAGTACTGTGGACTTCCAGAAGAACAAACAAATCTATTTTGGAAGACGTACAGCTAGAATGCTCCTTAGAAGCCAGGATGGCGTCACTTGGTCTCGCAAACTTAGGACATGTTCTCAGAAGGGATCAGTCCCTGAAGAAGGAAATCATAGGTGGTACAGTGTAGAGTAAATGAAAAAAAGGAAGACTCCTAACAACATGCATTGGCACAGTGGCAGCAGCAGTGAACTGAAGTGTAACAACAATTATGAGGCTGATGCATTATCAGGCCGTGTTTCATTCTCTTCCACTTAAGGTCGCTATGAGTGTGAACCAACTGGATGGCACCTAGCAAAACCACCCTTTCCTGAAGCATTTAGAAGTCTTCAGTTTACACCATGTCAAAACGACTGTATTGGCATTCTCAGAGGCCTCACATCATGCTCCTTTTAAATGTTCTTTGAGCTTTAGAATAAAAACAAATCTAAAGTGGTAAGATCAGGGCTGTATGGTGAATGGAATAAGTTTTTCAACAAAATTCTCTTAGGCTAGACTTTGCTGCCCTCAAAGAATGAGCAGTTATATTGTTGTTGTTGTTGTTGTTAAGTGCTGTCGAGTCGGTTCCAACCCATAGTGACCCTGTACAGGGTTTCCGAGGGTGTAAATCCTTACGGGATTAGAAAGCCTCATCTTTCTCCCGCGGAGCGGCTGGTAGTTTCGAACCACTGACCTTAAGGTTCGCAGCCCAATTCGTAACCACCACGCTACCAGAGTTATATTGTAATGGACAAAAATTTCTCAGCATAGCTCTCTTGACGTTCATCAATGTAGTTTTCAATTTTCTTAGTACCTCCTCCTTATTATCATCCTGTATCCGTTGGAAAACTCAAGAATATCCTCTTAGATTCCTAAAAAACAGTCTCCATAATCTTGAGCTGTCGCTTCGGCCTAAAATTTAAGTGACCCAGCAGATCCTCTTGGAAGTCACTGTCTTAATTGGATCATTTTCTTTCTTTTTCTTAAAAGGCATCCTCACAAGATGGCTAGCCACAAGTTTAGTAGTTCAAAACCATCAGCTGCTCCTCTGATACCCTACACAGGGTCACTATGAGTTGGAACTAGCTCAATGGCACTTAACAACAAAGGATTAAGATGTGTATTACTTATCACAGTTGTTGTTGTTGTTAGGTGCCATCGAGTAGGTACCGACCCATAGAGACCTTATGCACAGCAGAACGAAACACTTGCCTGATCCTGGGCAAACCTCACTACTGTTTCCACACTTGATTCCATTGATGCTGACACGTGGCCATTCCATCTCATTGGGGGTCTTCCTCTTTTTCTCTGACCCTCCACCTTACCAA